CACGCGTCCCTTTTGAAGATGAATATGATGGGATAGGCCGCCCTGGGGACCAAATGTTTCCGTCTCTCCCAGGGACCTCTATGAACTTTTTGGCGGGTGCCCTCCGCGCCCGAGAAGGGGAGATTGAGTTTAATATTTCCTCCAGTTTTGTTTCCAGTAGCTCGAGCAGTTCCGACTCCGACTCGAGCTCTTCTTCGCCCAGTGGGGGTCTGCCCGCTGATACGTCGCTTCCCTTTTCCCCTCCCCCTTCCTGCTCTCTGCCTCTGCTCACTTGGAACTCTAGGGGAATCTTCGCTTCCATTTTTTAGCGAAGAGTCCTGGTTCCGACGTTTAACTTTGATCCCCCCCCCCCCCCCCCGTTCTTTGAGCAGCGTTTAATTTGCGCGAGTCTTCTGGGCGGATTCCTTTTCGTCCAAGCCAGTTTTCGCGAGGGGGCAAGGCAGCCGCCGAAGGATCTTCTCAAAGGCCGCATTCGCTTGCACACCCTGCGGCATCCGAAGGTTGCCCGTGCCTGGTCTGCGTCTTCCTCTTAGCTGTCTCATATAACCTTTGCCCCCCTGGGGCCAGCGGCTCACCGCCCCTCTCGAGGCCAGCGGAGTTTTATGCTGTACATGTGCCCCATCTGCCGTCTCGGTGCTGCTCTCTTCATCGTGCCCCTTTGGGGCCAGCGGACTTTGCATCGCTCTCTGCTGAAGCCCTTGTTGGGGTTCCCCGAAAGCCGCTCTCTGCGCTTTTCTCGGGGTTCCTACGCTCGGCCCGATGTTTCCCATTCAGTGCTTCTGTCGGCGCCCATTGGCTGTTGCAAGTGGCAGGCGTTGCTTCAGCTGCACTGGCCGCCGATAACTCTTCTTTATTTTTGTTGCCGCCAGGTTCCCGATGAAGTACCGCAAGGCCCCGCGTGCTTTCTAGAGAGAGATCTTGTTTGGGCAGGGTCCGTTTTCCTTGATCGTCGCCTGGTCACGGGCTTAGCTTCTGATCGACCCTCCCCCCTCTCTCAGGGTATGCACTCTGTGGGCTTTTAATTTATTTTGTTGCCTTAATTTTTTATGTATTGGTTTTTATCTCTTACTGGGCCTAACTTTTTTGCAGAGCGACCTTTAAGGCGCCCAACCTCCGAGTTGGTTCGGCTTCGAATGCGCCCGTCGCCAGGGCTGGACACACTGCGCCGATTGTCATCCCCCATTGCCATCGGTCCCGTTGAAAAAAAAGATCCGCATCATCATCATCATCATCATCCTCATATTTCCCTGACATCCTCTTTTTGCGGGATGATTCACGACGGACAGCTTCTCGCTTGTTCTGCCTGTGGAGGCCTTCGCGCTGGGCCCTGGGACTGGCGAAGAGCAGCTCAAGATGAAAACTTGGTCCCGGCCGGGGACAAAGGGCGGCTCCTCCGCAGAACCTCGTCTTTAGGTAGCCCCGAAGCGAACGATTGAGTGCAGCTCGTAAGGGATGCCTTGATCGGATCGCGGCTGGTCTCAAGCCGGTTGTCCTGAGCCGAGCTGAGGAGCCGAGCCAAATCGTTTACCCTTTGATTCCGAGTTGTTGTTGTCACCGTGACGTGCATTCGCAACGGGCTCCACTACTCCACTCGATCCTCCTCCATATACCCCTCTCCTCCTTTCCCCTTGCGCCGTCCTCCGCCGTTCTCCTCCATCCTGCTTCCTCTTCCCCCATCCTCCTATTCGGCGCAGGGCCGGCCGGAAAGTCTCTGGCGTCTGCGCCGCCCTTGCAGGCAGGTCCGAAGAAGAACAAACATTCATGAACATCACATTTGTCCGAGGTCCGCGCGGATGTTTTGCATCTTTGGCACGCTCTTCGCGCCAGGGAGTTTGCTTCAGCGCAAATCCAAGACATCCGCGCGGACCCAGGAAAGTTACCATTTCCCCCGGCCTTCTTTTGTGAAGGTCATGTCTGAGGGAGGTGTCCATGGCCGCTTGGGGGTCTCCGCGATCCAAAATCAGTGGCCCATGGTCTCTGGTCGTGGCCTCTGGTTTCCGGTCGTGGTCTCTGGTCATGTATGAGGGAGGTGTCCATGGCCCTTGGGGGTTTCCGCGATCCAGAATCAGTGGCCCATGGTCTCTGGTCGTGGCCTCTGGTATCCGGTCGTGGTCTATAGTCGTGGCCCATGGTCTCTGGTCGTGGTTTCTGTGGTCCCTCTTGGCGCATAGTACAGCACTAACACAGCAATTCTGTACGGTGCTCTCTTTAGGATTCGCTTCTGCCGCCAAGGGTGTGCTGATCCTGGCTCAAGTGAAGTATACCGAGGGCTTTTTGACCGTCTGCAGCTCGACGTGTTGGACATGCTCATCTTCGTTAACAGAACTCCCCAACACGCCCGAAGACGCTGAACAACGCATGCGTTGCTTTGAACTCTTTTGGATGTGTAGTTTCCCATCATCCCGGCCAGCCGCGAACGGGCCGGAGGCCTTCCCGTTGGTGTCAGACAGGTGTGTGTGTGCGTTGGTGATGTTCCCCGTTCTCAGCTCTGCGCAAGGAGATAAGTCTCAGCCCCCGCCACGTGTGCACAGCTGGTGGATTCAAAGATGAATAAGCAGATGCTCAAGCATTACATTAGGCATGCATAAACCTCTATTTGTTTTTGGTAGCGTGCTTACCATGTCAAGAACGTCACATGGACAAACCTAAGTTTGCGATTGTATCATGGACCAAGGCACTGTTAGACCCATCCATACACATACACATATGCATCTATATTCATACATATATACATACATACATACTCACATACATACATACATACATACACATACATACATACATACATACAAACATACATACATGCATGCATGCATGCATGCATGCATGCATGCATGCATGCATGCATACATACATACATACATACATACATACATACGTGCATGCATGTATGTATGTATGTATGCATGTATGTATGTATGTATGTATGGTTGGTATGTATGTATGGCTGGTATGTATGTATGTATGTATGTATGGTATGTATGTATGTATGTATGTATGTATGTATGTATGTATGTATGTATACATATAACGGCGCACCGGGTCCGGGGGCCCGGGGCCGGGACCTCGACCGCAAATGTGCACCCCGGGGGGCCCGGAGGCTCGTCGGGGCTTGCCGGAGGCCTCCCCGGTCAGACAAGACGGCCCCAAGAAGACGCCCAAGAAACTTCCAAGAAAGAGGGCTCCGAGATGCTGAAGATGGCCTCCAGACGTCCAAGGACGCCCCCAAGAGGCCCCAAGAAGCCTCCAACATGCGTCCCAAGAGGGCCCCTAGACGCAAAAATTGGCCCATTCCCTTCGTAAAACGTACATGTTTCAACAAAGTCGCCTTTTGGGCTTTCCGACGTTACAGGACGGCCCAAGAGGCGCCCAAGACCGCCCCAAGACGGCCCAAGAAGCTTCCAAGAGGGCCCCAGGACAGCCCAAGAGGGCCCCAAGACGGCCCAAGAGGCGCCCAAGATGGCCCAAGAGGGCCCCAAGACGGGCCCAAGAGGGGGCCCAGAGGGGGACCACGAACCGCAAGCTCGAGCCTTCCGCCCCAAGAGGCCGCCAGGAGGCCCCCAGGAGGCCCCTCAAGAGGCCCCAGGAGACCCCAGACGTCCAAGGACGCCCCCAAGAGGCCCCAAGAAGCCTCCAACATGCGTCCCAAGAGGGCCCCTAGACGCAAAAATTGACCCATTCCCTTCGTAAAACGTACATTTTCAACAAAGTCGCCTTTTGGGCTTTCCGACGTTACAGGACGGCCCAAGAGGCGCCCAAGACCGCCCCAAGACGGCCCAAGAAGCTTCCAAGAGGGCCCCAGGACAGCCCAAGAGGGCCCCAAGACGGCCCAAGAGGCGCCCAAGATGGCCCAAGAGGGCCCCAAGACGGGCCCAAGAGGGGGCCCAGAGGGGGACCACGAACCGCAAGCTCGAGCCTTCCGCCCCAAGAGGCCGCCAGGAGGCCCCCAGGAGGCCCCTCAAGAGGCCCCAGGAGACCCCAGACGTCCAAGGACGCCCCCAAGAGGCCCCAAGAAGCCTCCAACATGCGTCCCAAGAGGGCCCCTAGACGCAAAATTTGGCCCATTCCCTTCGTAAAACGTACATTTTCAACAAAGTCGCCTTTTGGGCTTTCCGACGTTACAGGACGGCCCAAGAGGCGCCCAAGACCGCCCCAAGACGGCCCAAGAAGCTTCCAAGAGGGCCCCAGGACAGCCCAAGAGGGCCCCAAGACGGCCCAAGAGGCGCCCAAGATGGCCCAAGAGGGCCCCAAGACGGGCCCAAGAGGGGGCCCAGAGGGGGACCACGAACCGCAAGCTCGAGCCTTCCGCCCCAAGAGGCCGCCAGGAGGCCCCCAGGAGGCCCCTCAAGAGGCCCCAGGAGACCCCAGACGTCCAAGGACGCCCCCAAGAGGCCCCAAGAAGCCTCCAACATGCGTCCCAAGAGGGCCCCTAGACGCAAAATTGGCCCATTCCCTTCGTAAAACGTACATGTTTCAACAAAGTCGCCTTTTGGGCTTTCCGACGTTACAGGACGGCCCAAGAGGCGCCCAAGACCGCCCCAAGACGGCCCAAGAAGCTTCCAAGAGGGCCCCAGGACAGCCCAAGAGGGCCCCAAGACGGCCCAAGAGGCGCCCAAGATGGCCCAAGAGGGCCCCAAGACGGGCCCAAGAGGGGGCCCAGAGGGGGACCACGAACCGCAAGCTCGAGCCTTCCGCCCCAAGAGGCCGCCAGGAGGCCCCCAGGAGGCCCCTCAAGAGGCCCCAGGAGACCCCAGACGTCCAAGGACGCCCCCACGACGCTTCGCGTCACCAATTTCTTCGCACAACGATTCCTGGGTCTGTGACTCGACAGAACCTAAGCGCGCGCGAAGCGCGCGCGTGGTTCTAGTATGTATGTATGTATGTATGTATGTATGTATGTATGTATGTATGTACGTACGTATGTATGTATGTATGTATGTATGTATGTATGTATGTATGTATGTATGTATATATTGTGCATGAGTGTCTTTATTCTACAGGTGGGGACCCTGCCCCTCCTCTGCAAGAGCTGGGGCGCCTCGATCAGGCTTGGCGGCACGCACAGGGGAGGGGGTCGCGAGATGGGTGGCCTCGTGAGAAGGTGAGGGGCTTTTTGGAAGGTTGAACCTTCTTAGACGGGTCTGGAGGCTTCTGAGAAGCCGAGAGGACTTCAAGAAGCTCCGCTGCCTTCTTGGAAGTCCCCCCCGCCTTCTTAGGAGGTCGGCGTCCTCGAGCCACCCCCTTGTGCGCGCCGCCCACAGATGCGCTGGGGCCGCCGTCTTGGCCGTCGGGGACGACCCAGAAGAGTCCAAGAACGCCATTCCAGGTCTCGTGAGCCTGAGGTCAGGGGCAACGTCAGGTGGGGATTAGCTCAGGGGGGATGCGTCGACCCCCAATCGCCCATTCATCGCCGATGGGCGCCCGATAGCTCCCCCCGCCCAGGAGCGTGCGGTTTCGCAATAGGAGGCTTGTCTCTGATCAATGGGTGGTGTATCGCCGATTCCAGCTTGATGTCTCCCCCCTCGAGCCGGTCCCCCCCAACGCTGCCCCTCCTGAGGGCCAAGCTCTTCGGCATCGTTGATGAGGCCTTCCAGGGCTGCAGCACCTTCCGGCTAGCGACGAAGGCCGCGCTGGAGGAGTTGCTTGGCCGCGCACCGCAGAATCGGCCCGCGAAGCTTCTCGCGCGCTACTTGGACGAGGTGCTCCGCGGCGAGCGCGGACGCGGCGACGAGGATGACAAACGAACAACACACCCATGCCCATGGGGGGACGGGTGCGTGTTGTCGGATGGAGGTCCCCGCTCGAACGAGAGCCTTCCCCAAGAGACGAGAATCTGCGCCCATACCCGTAGCAAGTCTTCCCTCCGACTCCTTTGTGGGTATGGGTGTGTATTGTTCGTTCGTCAGAGGAGGTCGACGCGATAATCGCGGGCGCCATCGGCATCTTCAGCCACCTTGCTGCGAAAGACGCGTTCGAGGCATTCTTCCGGAAGGACTTGGCGAGGCGGCTGCTTCATCCGAGGCGGTGATTTGTCCACGACCACCGCCTGGGGGATCGATCTTCGGAGACCTCGGCAGGCGGTGGATAGGGAGCGTGCCGAGACCCCGAGGATTGATCCCCGGGCGGTGGTTATGGATAGATCCCCGCCCCGCACTTCACATTTGCGAGGGGTCTTCGGCGGGCGCCGAGCTTGCAGTGATCCAGCGCCTCAGCGACGAGTGTGGCGCCGGCTTCTGCTCGAAGCTCAAGGTCGGGCGGGGTTAGGACCATAATAAATCGTCACAGAGCTTTCCAGATGCTGTCGGAGCGTTCAGAGAGCTCTGGAATGGCCGCGGTCCCCAAGATGTCCTCCAGAACCGCCGGTGTCATAGATCCCCGATTTATCCAGGTCCGATGTCGTTCCAGTCTTGGTTTCATCTTACTCGGGGGCCCCCAAACGGTGCGGTGACCACACCGTGTGGTGAGTCGGTGGGGACTCGGGCTCACCGCACGGTTTTGGGGCTCAAGTCCCTCTCCGAGGATGTCTCGGACGTCAGGGGCCTCCAGGGTGCCAAGACTGTGCGGTGACGGACCGTGCGGTCAGGTCTCTTGGGTGTCCGAGGCCACCGCACGGTCTGTCACCACACGGTTTTGGGACCCCCAATACAAGGGCATGCTGCGCGACGTGGACCTCTCGCTCGGGCTTCGCTCGGCCTTCGCGTCGCGGCCGGCGGTGCAGACCGCCATCGCCGACGCCGGCGTCGAGCTCGACGTGAGCGTGCTCGCCAGCGGCCTATGGCCCGCGCCGCCCCGGAGCCCAGACGTGGTCTACCCGCAGGCTCAGATGCCCGCGTACTTGGCATCGTTCGGACGTTTGGATTTGTTCTTGGCACCGAACAAGTGTGAACAAAAACACTTGTGTTTTACCACACTTTTTTATCACACTTGTTTCTCATCACACTTGTTCGGAGCATCGTTGCCGTGCCATCGAGGATCATCCTGGTTCATCGAGCAGAGAAAGCACGCACAAAATCCAGGAATGCACAGGGAATGGACGTCCGAACGACGGCAAGTGTGGGAAATTATGGAATCACGACGGAGGGATTTTGCTAATTGTCAGGAGGGGAAAAGGTACAGCTAAAGTGTCTCTTCCACAACTGTTCCCCTTGTTGGGCCTCCTGGGGGGCCCTCGTCGCCACCACTGGGGTCCCATCGAAAGCCTGGTCAGAACGCACTCCAGGAGAGGTCTGGGGAGTAGTGGTATGCGCACTTTCTGGTTTTCCTCGCTTTTCTGACTCAGGGAGCCCTCGACGGGCCGCGGGACCGTCAAAACAATTATTCAGAACGAATAGCTGGTCCCTGGGAAGGAATCCAGACCGTTGGGGAGCCACGTTGTGAAAGAAGCACGCTGGCGGACGTGTGTGACGGCACACGTACTGAATAGTTTTGGGCGTCCGCGTATGGCCGAAGTAGATGTTCGTTGTGGGGATCTTCTTGAAGCCCACTTGACGGATATGTTCTACTACAGTTCGATCATAGCACAAGTCCGACTCAAGTCAGCGGACGTTCGACGCAGCATCAACGCATGAGTGGAGCGTGTGGCTCCAGGAAGGTCCCCAGAGCGAGCATCCAAGCAGGCTGTCGCGAGGTTGCAGGAGCTTTTTGCGACCTTCTACGCGCAGCAACACACGGGCCGTTCCCTGAGCTGGGCTCCCTCGTTGGGGCAGTGCGTGCTGCGGGCAGCCTATCAGGGTGATTTGCGGAAGGATCGAGCGGCGAGAATTTGCACACAAATTGATCTTGGCTTGGCCCATGCTGTGCCAGGGATCTGTGAATATGCCTCCCTGGGCAAACCAGGAGCAGGTGATGCACCAACCCCAGACCCAGGATTGGCCTGGAAACGGTTGGAGTATGTGGATGGGTCTGTCTCTTGCAAAAAGGAGTTCGTCGTCTCCCACCTGCAGGCCATCGTCCTGCTGCTCTTCAACGGCGCGGACACTCTAAGCTGCCAGCAGATCGCCAGGGCCACCGGGATACCCGCGGCCGACCTCCAGCGAACGTTGCAGAGCTTGGCGTTGCACAAGACTGTGAAGCTGTTGAGTAAGGACTCCAAGGTGCGAGATGTTCTGGACGGCGACCTCTTCACCTTCAACTCGCGGTTTTCGCACAAGCTTTTCCGCATCACCGTGCCGCAGATCTTCGCAAAGGACCAGGCGGAAGAGGAACAGGACGTCGAGCACAGGGTTTTGAAGGACAGGTTGCACGAGATCGACGCCGCCGTGGTGCGGGTCATGAAGGCCCAGAAGCGGCTGACACACCAGCAGTTGCTGTCCGAGGTCTTCAAGGCGATAGGCTTCCCGGCGACGCCGTCGGACGTCAAGCAGCGCATAGAGTCGCTTATCGAGAGGGACTACCTCGAGCGCGATGCTGGAAGCGGCGCCGCCTACAATTACCTGGCGTGAGGCCGCTCGCTCCGCGCAGCGCCCCTCCCCAGGGACTGCTGGCGCGGCGCGCACCGCACCGCCTCGCCGCGGCGCCTGCCGGGGCAGGTCAGCGGGAGGCGCCATCGCTGGCGCGCCGGGAGGGGGAGGGTGAGTCAGCAGCCCCGTCGAGCGAAAACAGGCAATGTCGCAGACTGCGAGATCGAGGCGCGACCGCCTGCCTGGTGGGTGGTGGGGGTCCCGTTGGCACTGATGGGGGGGGGGGCCTGCAGGCTGTGGGTCAGGAAGCTCCCCGTGCTGCAGGTGCAGGGGACAGCTCTGCACTGGAAAGCTCTCAGGGGACGTGGGCCAGGGCCCCCCGTGACTTGCCCGCACGGCGTGTGTTGTCACCACACGGTTTTGGGGTCCCCAGGAGTTGCCCTGCAGCCTCCGCAGCACGCACGTGCTCCAGAGCCAGAAGAGGCGGCGGTGTCGAGGGTCGGGCTCTCCCGGTGTCTGGCTCGTCTGCCGGGGCGCGTGTGCTGCGAGGATCGGTGCGCAGCGGACGGGAGCGGGGCAGAGCGAGAGAAGAGTGCGGAGGCGTGGAGAGCGAGGGGCAGACAGCAGAGAGGAGGAGGGAGGAGGAGGAGGAGGAGGAGGAGGAGGAGGAGGAGGAGGAGGAGGAGGAGGAGGAGGAGGAGGAGGAGGAGCGGAGGAGGAGGAGGAGGCGGAGGAGGAGGAGGAGGCGGAGGAGGAGGAGAGGGAGGAGGAGATGGAGGAGGAGGAGGAGGAGGAAAAGCAACTCTAGGGAGCAAAGGGCAAATCTAGAGTGGACAGGACGTGGTCCCTCGGCCCGGGGGCCGTCCCGAGACGGACGGCAGGGAGACGTCTCGGCGCTTTCAGTCCTTGAAGCTCTCGGCCGGCTCCAACCAGCGTTTGAATTGCCCACCCGGTCGCCGAAAAGAGGAGGAGGCGGCGGAGGAGGTAAAACCAAGATTCATCAACGATGTTGGAATTAACCCTCCCTCCAAGCTCCCGCTTCATAGGCCCCCACAACGGTTCATTTCCATTGAGGGAGCTGCCTCGTTGGAAGACAACCAATTCAAGATCCTGAAGCATGCCACAACATTGTTCTCGGGATTTCAACGCCACGTGTCAACCTGATTGCTGCGTCTTGACGATCCAGAATCGTGCCAGAGCGCCATTTTTGGGACCGCAACACCGCAAATCAACATAATTGTTGCACCCGCACAACCCTGAACGCTTCCAAAGCACAATTCCTGGTACGTTGATCATGGGAATCCGTGAAACTCTTGTAAATGTTGAAACAGAATGTGCGCGGCGCTCAGGCGAGAGCCACATTTTGAAAAACGACCCGCCCTCAATCCGTGAAGTCCTTGCACACATTTTAAAAACGAATGTGCGCGGCGCTACGGCGAGAGCTACATGTTGAAAGGGACCCGCATTCAATCCGTGAAGTTCTTGCAAACAGTTTAAGCGAATGTGCGCGGCGCTCAGGCGCGAGCCACATTTTGAACACGACCCGTCTCCCATCTGTAAAACGGTTGTCATGTTTTAAGCTTCAGAGTCATAAATGGTGAGGAGGTCCCAGGCACAACGCCCAGCCCGCCCTAAAATTTGGCCCCGGGGTGCGACAGCGAGAAGTTTTCTATAAGGAGATGAATTTGAGGAGGAGGAGGAGGATAGCCGGGAGGACGAGGCGGAGGGCGGCCAGCAGGAGGAAGAGGAGGGGGTTGGGAATGAGGAAGAGGAGGAGGTGGGGAAGGTGGAGCTCCGATCCCTCCCCCCTCCCCAGAAATCCGATTGCGCTTTCTTTCTGGATCCATTCCCCAGGAACCGGCTTTTCGTCCCGAGCCTTTCTTTTGACGTTCGCCATATTTGAGTGTTTTGTTCGCGTGCGCATGCTCTCTCTTGTCTCCTATTTCTGCCGTCCTCTTCCGTAATCGTCCCGTCCCGTCCAAGGCCTCTCAGAGGCCAAATTGTTTTTCGGGGTGGGCGGGCAGGGCCATGGCTCGCACGTTTCGAGCGGCGCAGAGGGCGCGCAGCTCAGAGCGGCCGGGACGAGATGCGCCACGTCTATTTGCTTGAGTGCGCGGTGGCGACGGCGGTGGTCGCAATGTTGGGGTTGCCGGGCGCGTCGATAGGGGTGCGCCTGCACTGCAATTTCCCAGGCCTCGAGATGGCCACGAAAGGGAGGAGGAGGCGGGATACGCCTCGCAGGATGAAGATGCGCGTGCCGACCAGAAGGGGCTGGGAGGTCCAGTTCTGCTAATTACGGCCGTGATTGCGTCTCAGAGGAGGGAGCAGCCGTTAGCGACACCCATGCCCCACGCGGGAGCCGCGCAGCTGTTAAGTGATGCAAGCGCGGCGAGCTGCCCAGCAATTTCAGGGCCGAGGCGGCAGCAGGAGCGGAGGCGGACGCACGCCTTTGCGTCGCGGAGGCGCTGGCCATCTACGGGGGGCGGGCGCGCGAGGGGTTCTCGGGCGCGAGGGCGCACGACCCGCTCTTCGCGTTCGACGGCGACGGGCTCGCCGCCCGGGCGGACGTCCAGAGGGTGGGCGCGCGGGCGGCCGTGGCGGGGGGGGGTCGATCCCAAAGATCTCGGCTCTCACAGCCTGAAGATCGGCGGCGCACCCGCCCTGTGCGCGGCGTTCAATGACGCTGCGTTCGCGCAGCGGTGGGGGCGCTGGAATAGAGACGCGTTCCAGGGCTACCCGTAAGCGTCTAGGGACATGGCGGATGGCGTGGCTAGCAGGATAGCGGCCACAGGCCTCGCCATTGTCTGAGGAGCAAGAGGTGGTCGCAGTGGCCTCTGAGGCTGAGGACGAAGGACAGCCAGCGGCGAAACGGCCGCTGAGTGCGAGGCGTTTGGGGAGCTTCGCGGGGCTCGCAGCGCGGCTGGTTTCCAGGGCGGTGGGCGCCAGCAGCGGATCCGAGTTTGCGGCGCCAGCGGCGGAAAGGAGGGCTGGACAGTGGCAGGGCCGGGGCCCCCCACCAGCGCCGGAGGGGGTCCTCGAGGTGGGCCCCCCGGCCCGAGGTGCGGTGGCCAGGTGGCCAGGAGCACGCGGGGGGCGGCCATCGGCCGTGGCGGGGTGCCAGGCCGCGGAGCTCGCGCTCGGCAGAGGAGCCCGCCAGGCGCCACTGGCCAGGATGGAAGAGCGTCTCGTCCCACTCCTCTGCATCGTCGTCGGCGCCATCGTTTTAGGCTCAGGAGGGTGGCCTCGCCTCCGAGAGTGCAAGCGCTGTTTGCGGGCGGCCTGCAGGCCACGACCCGCCCGGGGCTTGAGGCGGAGCGCGCAGGACAAAACTTGGACGTCAGCCGTAACCAAAGGTTTCTGGCGCGTGCGCAGTCTTTCTCTTGTCTCCTCTTTCTCCTGCCCCCTTCCGTAATTAACCGTTTCGCTCAAGGCCTCTCAGAGGCCAAGCTCGGCTTGGCCTCTCAAGGCCTCGAGGAGCCCCGAAGAACAGTGTTCTTCGCGGTTCCACCCGCCCACGCCAGATCAAAGAGGTGGCGTGGGCCCCAGCCGAGTTTGCTCGGCAGGTTCCTTCGGTGGGGATTGCACGCGTTTGCCGCAGGGCTGTCGGCGCACCGCGCCATTGCCCCCCCCCCCCCCCCCCTCCGGGGGCGCCAGCGGTCGTGGCGAGGTGCCAGGCCGCGGAGCTCGCGCTCGGCGGAGGAGCCCGCCAGGCGCCACCGATCAGGATGGAAAAGCGTCTCCTCCTCGCCTGCGTCGTCGTCGGCGTCGTCGCTTGGGGAGCTCGGAGGTCGGCCTGAGGGGGTTTGGCCGCTTCCGAGAATACAAACGCTGTTTGGGGGAGGCCTGCAGGCCACGATCCGCCCGTGGCTTGATGCGGGGCGTGCAAGACAAAAGTCATTGTCCAGGTGCGTGGCGAAGGCTTCGGTTGGCCGGAACCGGACAATAAATCCCCCGTCGCGCTTTTGGGGCGTCGAGACGTGGGTCAATGCAAACAGGGGTCAGCTAGGGCACGGGATCCTGCAGGATGCTGCGAAGACCCCTTTTGGCTGACCTGGGTTTGCGAGCCGCTCGTGGCCGCGAGGCGGCCGCGCATATTGGCGGACCCGGGTTTGCGAGGACCTGCGTTGCAGTTTTTGTTCCTGCATTGCAGTTGTTGGTTTCCTGCTGACGCGGGTCTGGATTGACCCAGGCCAGAAGATCCCCGACGCGCTGCTGTTCTCGACGCGGGTGCGTCAGTGGAACAGGGAGGAGGAGTTCCTTTTTCCCCTTCCTTCTCCTTGCTTTTCCGCCTCTGGCGTGCGGCCGTGGCGGCGGCGACCCTCTCACACTGCTCCGCGCCCGCCGCCCCAACGCAACGCGGCCTCCCGCGTTACGCCGCCCTCGCACCCCCCGTCGGGGGTTTGGGGGGGAGTGCCAACTGTCCACCCGTCAGGGTCGGGGGAAGGGGGAAGAGGAGGAGGAGGAGGAGGAGGAGGAGGACGACGACGAGGACGAGGATGAAGACGAGAAGGAGGAGGAGGAAGAAGAGGAGGAGGAGGAGGAGGAGGAGGAGGAGTCCCACCAGCCCTCTGGACGTAGGTGGTCTAGGGCGGCTCCTGTTCCAACCCCCTTCTTCACCCTCGGGGAGGGGTTCATCCTCACTTCTGATGATTCAACCCCCAACATCCCCACCTAGCCAGCCGATAGCAACCCCGCCGCCGTCCGAATGGTAAAACGAAGCACGGATTCATTTCTTCCTCGCCAACATGTCGTCCAGTTGCCCCAAGTGTAGCAGGAATGGGTCGGAATGAACATCGCTAGGGTAACCCTAACCGGGTGGTCGCGCCCCACCCATCAAACAATACAGCGTCAACGTTTTTCTCGTCAACATGGACTTTCTTGTCGCCGACGCTGTGAACAGTGTAGCAGGAATGGGACGCGGCACGCACCGCGCGCGGACGCCTGGCCAACCCTACGCGGGACCCCCGTCCTATTTGTCAACAGAAACACCAACATGTGTTGTCTCCTTGTCGGCGCTGCGAATCGCGTAGCGGGAATGGGAC